GTGAGGTTCATTATGCTTTCTAGTGCAGGAGCCTAGGGGGTTACGGTTAAGGAACAGTACCGTTACTGTGGTGTTTTTGATATCACAGCATCTGTACGCTACATGTACATGTACATACTATGAAATTGACAAGCATTTACTCAAAACATATTGTACTGATAACTTACAAAGGCCCAAGGAACTAAATTGTGTTCAATGGGCCCTTCACTGCCCCAGGCACAGGTACAAAGCTACGTTTACAAACTTCACTCTGCTGGATAGTGCTGAAGCCTTGCATTTCATGTTGATTCTACGGTAGGCTGGAATTTCCATTGAAATACATGTAGGTTGGAGCTTTCTTAAAGTTGAACATTCTAAGAGAAATGCCGAAAGTTTCTTTGAGTGCAAGGATGTTATTGTTTGTATTTTATGGCATATGTTGCGGTGTGCTAAGGAAAAGGACATTGGCAGTTCAGGCATGGAAATGTTACTTTTTGCGATAATCAGGTTACAAGGTTTTGGGCTCATATTACTTAATAAAAATCACACAAGTCTGAACTTCAGACTGATGGAGTTTTGTTATTTAAAACAATATTCATTTCTATGAATAAAAGCCTCGATTTTAAAAGTAATTTACGGTTTATGAAAACAACCTTTTGCCAGGAGCTCCTCCTGCCATAATTGTCCGCTGAAGTGGCATGTTCAATCCTAACAACCTTCTGCCGGGAATAACTTTGATAGACATCCACAGTTCAGTGGGACAAAAGCGCAGTTTTTGCTACAAAAAGTACTGCATACTAACTTATTTATTCCAGGCAAAAATAATGATACTATCTTCCATATATCTTGTTCTGTTATTTACGTCAGAATGATATACCTCCTCGAGTCAACACGTATACCAAATGAAAGATATTTCAGTGCTTTATCAATTTTCTGAAAAACCTGAATTTTGATCCTTTGATCCGCAGCTTATGACCTTCTTTCAAGTACCAGACAACCCATTTTTTCATGGGCTCCTAAAACTTTTCATCGTGTGGGAAGTTTGTGTAAGCCCTTGGAACAGTGCCGTGGGACAATCCAGCGCTGATGTTTTGTACATGACGTTAAAAAGGTGTATACACAGCAAAATAGACGTATAAAAATAAATGTATTTTGGGCTAAGTGGCTTTTCCAAACTGCCAACTTCATAGTGGGCTATAAATCTTACCTCAAATGCCTGTGGGTGGTAGAAGGGATGCTTATTATTTTCCACAACACTAAGCCGACTGACCAGTTCCTCAACGAGAATCTGTTCAAGACATGTCAGGCAAAATCAGGGGTCAGTTGATGACAAACTGCGGGTTCCACAGAGAGGGTGTTTCATAGATGGGAGTGATTTCCATGGGAGTGATTGTGTACACGTTCAAATTGTTACAAAACGAGACATTTTAAAAGCTGCCATCTGCTCCTCGGTTTCATTTCACACACAAAATCTGCGAACTTTTAAATTCATGAAGGGTTGGAGGCACTTTGGTTCTCAATCACAGCCTGAACAGAAGAAAAGCATGAGGAAATAAACCGATCCAAGGAATAGTCAATACTAAAACATGTAACTACTAAAAGCCTATTTTTATGCCCCTCATAACAACATTTTCAGATGTTTTTTCAAGGTGATCCTTTGCCAGTTGGGAGTAGTGACGATCATGTTGCAGGAAGCCGCTAGATTCCATTAGCATATGGTCTGATTTCACAGGGTGTCTATTTCATAGAGCTCTTACATCATTCCATCCAAATTTGACGACTATAGAAAATGCATGTTTAATAGTATGTCACCAGCCAAACTTTCACACTAATGATAATGTTTGTGACTGGTTCTTGGCCAATTTGTACTCTTGGGACTGAGTCCACATCATACTTCCTGAATTATGGCTGCATCTACTGTCAACGAGTCCCTGTGTATTTTCAATGTATTTTATAAACCTCAGCTCATCAGTTTGCTGATCACTGCTCTCGGTTCAGCAGCCAAGAGTCTCACCCGTGCAGGCGCTTTGCGACTAAGCCCCTCAGAGATGACCTCGTCGTAATAGCGGTGTCGCTCCTCATTCAGCTGGAACGCCTTCCGCACCAGACCAGCCAACATCTCATTCTGCACCAGCACCTCCTCCTCGCTTTCCTCATCACTCCACCCATCCACCCCAACGCTGCCCCCCGGCGGTGGCACCGCCTTATCGGGGGTCATCAGCTGGGCCTGGGAGGTGCGAGAGGCCAGGAAGGGGAATGCTGGAGGATGGTGGGCACCTGCAGGCGGGGAGAGAGGGTAGGCGTAGGGGGAGGGAGGGTCGGGGGAGGACGTCGGCTTGGGAGAACTCAGGACAGGGAACTGTGAACAGAGAAGGGCACGCCTGTACACCATGAACTCCTGCAAATGTGATGACAAAATACAATATTAGAATTGAAATACAAGCTATGGTCGAATAGCTGATGTTATGTGACAAAATATGAATCAGATCTGTGTACATTGTATACAACACTATATAATTAGAAGTGCAACCTGTGGCACGTTTGGGATCTGGGGTCAGGGATTTTTTGAAATGATTGTCACATTTTTTATCAGCAAAAGAATCCCATCAGCCTATTTGAAGTATCGTGGACACAAGAGGGCACTATTTAGTTTGGGTAAAATCTTTTGTTTGCTAAAATTCATCCACTTCGATTAACACCCTCCTATTACGTCAATCACACTTCAATTAGGCCAATGTTCCGCCCCCCCAAAACGAGATAGTAAATGTGTTAGTGTTTCCAATTCTTAAACTTGCCCCTCCCCCCTACACTGGATACAAGCCCACTGGTGCAACCCTTCAAATCTGTCAAGGTATGATAGAGTACAGTGTTTAACTTGTGATATCAAAATCAACAGTACATGTAGTTGGCATTGTGTTTGAGTAAATACTGCACGAGCAGCATTGATGGAACAAGGGAATAAAAAGTGAAATGAGAATGCCTCAAGTCAATTTGGCCAAACTGGTTTCTTTTCTTGTCTTGTACATTTGATCTAATTTTCACCAATGTCAAATTGGGAGTTTTGTTAGGGGAGTTATCTGGTTGTGAATCCGGAAGCAAAAGCATGCCCCCCTAACAAATGAAAACTGGTATATTGAATGAGGATGGCCCATATCTCCCTATTCAAATCAACCACACAAAATCACACGACAAAGAACAACATAACATAAACAAAACCAAAACTTAACATAAACAAAACCAGGTCCATAACAAACCCCAAAACTAATCAAACAAAATTTGAAAAAGAAATACTTGGACAAGCCTGCTTTGTGGAGTGCGGAGTACCTTTTGAGTCAAGGTGGTTTTTGTTCCCGCATCTAGACCATTGGGGCTACAAGGGCTCGCCATCCCTAGGTCTTCAACGCCAGAGTCCTGACCATCGCTACGGACGACTGGTAACCTCTGTTCGATGCGCAGGGTGTGAGCTGGTCCCACAGAGCTTGTGCGGCATTGCCGAGACCTGCCAATGTGTAAAATGTGATGCCTTCTACTAAGCACAGGAACTGCTGGCTTTACTCTGATTTGTGCAGTGGCCACTTTGTTACGATACAACACGACCAGTATCTTGAGAGAAGGTTAGTCGTTTGACGGTTGTTTGACTATAAGGCCAAACATGCACTGGGGCATATCTGACCCAGATTGTATGCTTCAATGGTGCGAGTAACTGCACCCCCCCCAAAAAAAGTCTTTTTACATTGAAAATGTACATCAAATGATACTACACCTGCATGGCCACAGAGAGGTGCCTGCTTGCAAGTTGATACATGCACCTGTATATGTGTACGTACATGTACATGGAATACTGCACCCTCGAGTACAATGTTTGTAGACGTATAGCTACAGCTACCAAAATTTAGCACACACAACATGGCTCTGAAAATCTAGACACAGACATGAAGGTACCCGCATTTTTATTTTTAATCTTATGTCTGACAATCATAAAAATGATGTTATCATTTATATCCTTCCAAAGGTGGAAGAGCCATTCAGAGACCTTTAGCAATTAAATACTGCATATGGCCAGTACATACACTGCACAGTCACATACACATTTGCCAGTTCATTTGCAATGCAACCAGTCTATGGGAATGTGTTGTACATGTACATGAGCGCGTGAGCAAGCTGACTAATATGTTACCAGTGGTTACTGCAGTGATGCAGTACTCATGAGCATGTCCAACATCAATGTGAGTTGCACATGCATTTTGGCAAGCAATATGTACATGTAAACACCCTATCAGCTAAAGAGGCATTGAATGTGTGCACACTTTCAACCTGGGCTCAATTTCATGGCACTGTTTAGCAGTTAAAAGAAACGTCGTAATTACTGTAGCAGAAAATGTTGCTAATCATTTCATGATCAGATGATTTTGCTTGTCGTGATTGTGCTTATGGTCATACACGCTTAGAGATTTCCATTGTTTTGGTACTACGTCAATAATCAAACTCTTCCTCTGAGGTAAAAGCGTACCATCTGCTGTGCTAATATTGCTTTCAGTCTTCATGAAATACTCGGAGCCTCTGTTAGTGTAAAATTGTGTGCTTAGCAGGGCTGTGGAACTGGGCCCTGTTTGCAAGCACATACGGTATCATCTTACTTGCCAAATAACCAGAACCTAATAAGACAGGGCACTTGGCCATTTTCCACGCTTACCTTCGTTTCATTTTGTGCTTCAACACAGGCTCACAAGTGGCTTCAAATGCTCATACAAGAGAATGCAAATTGTCTAAACTTGGCACTGCCTTCAGACAATATGATGTTTCAAAGGCAAACAACGGAGCTCCACTGAGCCATGAGCCTTTCATTCAGGCAAATTATAAATTCCCTGGACATGTTTCTGAAGGCAAAATCTAACAAAAAACCGAGATGCGGAAAATCCCTTGTCAACTAAAACCGGTTCATATCTTCTGGGAAAAAACTACTCAACGTTATCATTTACACAACAATTTCTCAGCTCTTTAAGTAGATGCCTACTTCTTTATGACTGATATGCTATCATCAAGTCAACATTCTCCATGTCTTTGTACTACTTGAGTTTGGTTTTCTGTTTACATTACATGTTCAGCAATCACAGTGGGGAGCTCTCAAGTTTTCAGGACGATTGCCAAAAAGCGTACCTAGAAACATGTTGAAAAAACACCTGTATTAATTCTGTATCGAAACTGCAAAGAACTGTCAACGCAAGTAGCAGAACGACATCATATTAACTGGAGAGTTCACGTCACGTGCGGGGGAGAAGGGCCACTTTTTCAAAGCCGATTCACATCCCTGCTGGTAAATGGCATGCCCAGGTACATGTATGGAAGGTGTCAAACTGATAAAGCTAACTTTTGTCTAGTTTCAAATTCCAAAGTTCAGATGAAAAACAATTAGAAGCATATCTGAATATGATCCAGATGTACATTTATTACATGTACTAGCTGTCAACAAAGTAGAATCCAAACTGACAGACCAAAATAAGTTTGGCATTTTTTTCACCTGCTGCATACTGCACATACACTGTACATGTCAAGCTTGGAAAGTTCTACCAAGAATCCTCTCTTCTACTCACTCTAAAGTGTTAAAGTAGGTCTGGACATCTGTTGACACTTGTAGAGAACCAACCCTGAAAGGCAAAGAAAACACACAGTGACAGTGCAAATTGGAAAGATGTTCACACAAGATTTCCTTACAGTGCCTCATGGCGTAGGGTAGCTCTTAAAAAACTTTGCAGAACCACTACACTTTATGTATACACCATGTGCATATTCAATATAGGGATACTCCGTCCAGAGGCAGTTTTGCAAATCTGTTCAATAGATTTGCCTAACAAACTGCTAAAAATTACATTAAAATGAACTGTAATGCATGGTAGTTTTTCCCTTATGGGTAATCATATGGGTTAACTCTAAGCTAGAAATTTACCTTCTGATTGGGGCTAGTAGCCAGGTTACCCAAACATATGAGTGCAAGCCTTGATAATCATCACTGGATACAAGTACACGAACACCTAATTCACACATGCACTGAAAAATGTGGCGTTGTGTGTTTCCACTGTTCCTGTTGTCTGAATGACAACCTCCAATTAATTTCAAACTGCTGTACAGATATAGCGAAAAAAAAAATCACAGACAGGAAAACTGGTTTCCAGCGACATTGGAGCCCTTCCTACCAAATTTTTGACCAGTCACCTAAACACCTCATATCCAGGTACACAGCTGTCAGGAAATCAAATACAAATTGGTCGGTTCTGTTCCTGTCCGTAATCTTCAAGAGGAATACTTCGATTTCCTGTACATGTAAATATGAGTATATGCAATTATGCACGTACAACTGTACAATGTACACGTATATGCACGCTTCTGAGGTTATACGTCCAATTTACGTTTTAGTTTAATAACTAGATTTTTTTAAAGCCCTAAAGTACCCAGTACGTGTACATGTACTGGTACTTGTGCACATGTCAATGATTTTAAAAAATAAATCCAGAAATGCAGTGTAAGCAGGTACCAGGGTATGTATGCAGGTCAGTGCAGTTTGCATACAGGTAATTCCAGAAATTAGGGGTCCATTTGTTTCCATGTCCATGTCACATCTGACATATGATTCTGTAAGTTCATAACACATTTTCTAATTTCCAAGAGTGATGAATTAATGCAAACTACCCGCCAAACAAATAGTAATATGTATAGTTTGAAATTAATTCCAATTATATTTCCATGCCAAAAGAATAATAAAGGTCAGATGTAACAGGGACACAAAAATGTCACATTTTTGGTCCAATTTCTGGCATGACCTATACATGTTACACATTAGCTACCATGTGTACATGTACATCGTATGTACATGTACTATACATGTACATGTAAGCGACTTAACTAACCCCCTAGGGACCATTGAAATCCTGCATAACCTTGTTGGGTTCAGCATGTCAAGGGTATTAAAGTGAATCTGCAATGAATTTTTCTTAGAAGCATTTTGTCTGCAGGTTTTTACTCTTCTGCAATGTGTGAAAACTCCTTTACATTCACATTTGGTTAAATGCATTGAAAAGTGCACTTTTTAAAACTTTAAATTGTCTGTGCTTTCCAGGACTAGAGAGTGCTGTTACTGTGATGTCGTCTTGGGGAGACATAGCTCGGTGTACAAGTTTTTCTGCTGAAACTGTGATCCCTGAATTTACTTACTGAAAACATTTCTAAGAATGGGATTGATGGTTACTAATTGCTATTCAAATAAATAATAAGGAATCAGCAAACAAGACAAAATTTAGTCCAGCAGTATCTACCAAAGTGCAATACTTTCTTGTTTAAAAACCAATAAGACTGTCTTCCTGAGATGACATCACAGTTTGGCTCATGAATATGGAAACCTTATTAGCATAAAACAAAACGGCAGTAAAATATCCTTTGAAATAGTGAAACAAAAGTTGAAAAAAAGACTAACGGAGAGACAAAGGTTCATTTTGAAGGTGTACATGTATATTCAAATAAATTGATTACAGCTCCCCCACACAGTAGCTCTGACAGTCTCAAATCCTCTGATTTCAATAAAATTTTACATACACCTTGGCGGTCAGGGTTTTAAGCCTGAACACTGTAGCAAAATCTCTGAATTCGAATGAGATTTGTGTTCGCGTCTCAGTGCGTTTCATCTTCCCAATCCAAAAATATTCAACAGCTCAAGCACTTTCAATATATAAGTACTGTACACATACTGGGTATCACGGGGACCAAGGCCAGTGATTTTATTGTCGGCCATTCACCATCATACCAGTACAATACCTGGCTGTAGTGTTTTTCTAAAATATCTTTGAAATACCGGTAGTTAAAAAAAACGAAATTATACCAGCTTAATTTCTTTGAAATGAAGATATAAGCAAGAATGTGTACATGTATTACATAACTTTCAAGACAGCAAGTGTGCAATACATGTTTGCAAAACAGCTGAATTGTATTTTTTTTTCAATCTTGTAAAATGTGTTGCAGTCAAGTCAAGTTTATGAGGCAGGTCCCGTTCATTTTTAAAGAAATCTTACCCTTAATGTACAAAAGTTACCAAAATCTGGGTGCCCAGGTTACCCCTAAGTATCCTCAATCTTCCAAAACCCTCCCGGCGGTTTTGGAGGAATTTTAAGGACTGAGGCTGTAAGGCAAAATTACAATATACCGGTACATGTACGTCGCTGCATATTGCAAAATGATGTTCTGTGTCAAGGACTTGGGTTATACCTTATATTGCTTAAATGTTAACTTTGAATAAAATCTGATACACTGAGTTCTTTAAATTCACGTGAACGTAACAACTTGAATTCTCCATACTAAAACCACTGTTGCTATATCTCGTGATTTGGGGTAAGCTTTTGCATAGTTACATGAGAGACGCTTTGCAACAATACGCTTTTCTCAACGGATAAGAACGGCACAAAGGAACCAGTCCATTCCAGAGATGGTGGTCGCTATGCAAAAGCTTGCCCCGAATCACGAGGTATAGCAACAGTGTCTTTAGTTTGGGAATTCAAATTGTTACGTGTCTATGCAATCAGATAACACGCTGTACCAAATTTTATTCAAATTTAACTCGCAAGTGGCTTATTGAAGCCAAGATTATGTGACACCAATCACACTGCACCAATATACGTGTAAAAATGATGGGAAACAGTGGAAGATTTTGGAGGATTGAGGATGCACCCTGGCCAAAAGGGCCTGGGGGCTAGATTAATGAGAGACCTTAGTCCAGCAGTAGAATCTTGCAAGATTAACCAGGATATACATGTACATGTATGCTACAGGTACAAGTATTAAGCCAACAACTTTTGATGGCCACATGTACCTCTCCATCAAAGTGAGGATCACTCCGTTATATTCAATTTCTACTAAATGTAAACCACGTTTATCTGAAATATTCCCTTTAAAAACATTTCACACAATTTTGGGGGTTTTGTTGGGTGAACAATAACATTCCACTTGATCTTTTCAAATATCTTGTCTGTTATTCAATTGGATCGTAAACCACTTATTAAAATTATATCTGAAAAGTTCTTTTTAAAAACAATATAAACAATTTTAAGAGTATGGTTTTGTCGACAATTATATTCTATGTTTTAAAGACATACATGTATGGCACATGTCCAAGACGGTGTGTACCTTTAAATGATTGGACTGGTAAAACACAGTAATTAAAGACTGTACATACAATCATGGAGGGACACAAAATGCTACATTACTTCCACTTTTTTTTTCACTTTGGTGCTCAATGTTACCGACACATTTAGTGCTCACTGTCTCCACACACCATGTACATGCTGACACACACCTTTCGACTACAACTATCAGAATACAGTTTTAGGTCAAGACTTCCTTTGCGAGCGACCTTCGGCCAAAAAGTTTGCGAGAAGTATCAAAGGGCCAGCCAGGGACCTGGTTGCTCTTTGGCTCACGTGATAAGCATTGGGGTACAATGTAGAAGTGAAGTACATACCTACTGACGAGACTCACAGCAGGCATGTGACACCACAATATACTTGTACATGTACACACACATGTACCTCCGAAATCTGTTAGTACTTATAATTAGTAACAATATACATGTAGGGGCACGTGTATTTAGCAAGGTACCAGTAATTTATACATGTGCATGTGTATATTTGCAATGTATTGCACTGAAAAATGAGAATTATCCGCAATGTAAAATAGGATCAAAGAATGTGTGACGTGTTGCACAATCATTGTATCAAAAAGAATGCAAATTTCAGTTTCCCAAGCATATACATGTATGTACAAGCCACAGGCCCTATGCTAGCTGGTTAACTGTATCAGGAACGGAAGGAGTCAGATTTACAGTACTCTCCATACATGTACAATGCATAAAATGAAAGATAAAAGCTAGCAACAAAACATCATCTGCAAAGCATCTGAAAAAGTACAGGAACCCGTATGTGCAGGGCAATTTCATATGCTGATTTTCATTCAGGTTTTGGGTATGTGCATTTTCCTAGATAATGCACTACCGGTAAATAGACAACAACAAATTTATAGATTTATGCACCAAACCAAGCACGCTGAATGCAAGGCTTTCCATACAACTCTGTACACAAAAACTGATGAGCACTTGCCACTTCACCTCAACAGAATTCGCTGCTACATACATGCACATGTATACTTTACATGTCAGCAACTCTAGCACAGGTGCGATGACTGTACAGGCTGTAAATGAGCACTCTACAGTACATGTACATGTGCACATTGGAGCACCTGGAATAATGTGGAAATTTCTTGCCATTTAAACAAATTTGTAAGAAAAAAAAAAGACATACATGTAAATGACAACAAAACTGCAGAGACAATGTCCACCTCTGAGGAAATCTTCCCAAGACTTGTGTACACATCCAAACTGTGGTTACCCGGTAAAATGTACATGTAGTGTGCAGTGGTGAAGATTTCATAATTTCAGCTTGTGGAGGTTGCCCGGAAATTGATGAGCATGCTGCGTCAATTCAATTTCAGTGGGCAGTGTTCCATGACACATCGCTACGCTTCGCCAAGCTTTATTGCCCAACCAGTATTTAATGTGAACATGTACATGTACATACACATGTACATTCTCCTGCTGTTAGCAAGCACAGAATTTCTACAGCCACTCTGTAGAATTTCCAGAATCAATGCCCAGTATATTTCAGTATGTTTCAGAGGAACAGGTGTTTTGTTTCACTGGAAATTCAAGACAAGGCACCTGTGCTGTGAATAACTGCATATGTCAAACTACTCAAAATAATAAACACAGTGCACCTGCAGCTTGTGAAATTGTTCTTCCAATGCAAACAACAAGCACTGTAGAGAACTGATACCACATACATACATGTATTCAGTTGATAGTACATGCACATACATGTACATGTACATCAATCAGTGTAAAAAATGACAATTTTTTTAAATTTGTTAAAACTGTATTAACCCCTTGATGACGGGAAATTCTTTCCGAAAGCCGACTCCAAGAATTCCAGCCTCACTTGGCCACGAAGGCCACCTGCCAAACCGCAAATTCTCGGTTTGTGGCTCTGCACGCTTTGAATTACACGGTGAAAAGGCTGATTTTCGGTGGCATGCGGCTCTACTCATGCTTCCACGTTCCCATTGCCTTTTTGCGGTCTTTCCATTTCTGGGCTACACACAAAGGCTGATTACCATATATACAAGAGCCAGGGCCTGCCTTCTTTCACCGTGTTCGCTCGAGCGTGGGCCGAGAATAATAGCTGGAAAGCGGGCTTAGGATCTCAATTTTTACGGCGCGTCTTGCCGTGTCCCAGCGCGAAGGGGTTAAAACCAAAACTTAAACAAATACATGTAATCAGTCAAACAAACTTACAGGCAGACTCAGCCAACAGCGTATTACAAAAGCTAACCAAGAACCGATAATCGTATTCTTTGGGTCGACAAAAGCCTAAGAAACTTGGTAAAGCTTTGCAAAATTTGAGGACACACCAGACATTTCATAAGTTTGTACTGGGCTTCGTGATTTGTAGGCTCTAATGATGTCTGTCACTGCTCAATTAATTAAATGTTTCCCCTGGTATGCGTACCATAGTGTGCACCATACGCAGTAGCACACTCAGGTGTGGTTAGACAGTCATGGATGTGGTCGAGCGGTCAAGAATGCAGTCTGCAGTGCAGACCAATCAGAATGTCGCACAAGACAGACAATGAAACAGCTGGATAGACAAATAGGAAAATCAATTCATCAGGTTTCACTTCTGAATCTCCAGTTGGCTGATTGTTTGGCTTCTTCAACCATTCTACCAGTACCAGTCACAACTGGATTTACTGTTGTTTGCATGTATCAAACAGTGTTGTTTAAAAAAACATTTAATCCCATTCATGTTTGACTAATAATTCCTGATTTCCAACATCCTGCAACCAACTCATTTACAAAACTTGTCTCACAGAACGAAATCCAAATTTCACTTACGTCACCCCATTCCAATAAAATAAGCAAATAAAACAAAGAGACAAAAATTGTGCATGGCACAATGTAAATGTACATACACATCATCCCATGATGTACACAATGAACTAGAATCTAGAGGGAAGGGAAATTCATTGAATAAACAAAATGTGACCCAAGTCCCGGGGGGGGTCACTTTTGTGTTTTACTTTGTATTAGATTGAAGAATTTGAGCTCTTTCTTTTGATGCGTCACTCAGTTTGGTATGATGAAAATGGACATTGTGTAGGTGTTATTAATTAAAATGTAGAAGATTCCGATTGCACACTGTGCAAGATTCTTTCAAAGGCCTTTACTCAAAAGTGGCTCTGGCGACATGCAACTCCTTTTTGCTGAGCAAATTAAAAGTTTCTGGAAAGTACATGTACAAGTACATGAAGGTGCTCAATATCACAGCATCAGGAGTTTTGATTTTTTTGGTTTTCCGATCTCTTTGTAGTGGAACAAGCCAGGACTTTCATAGTTTATATCAAGTGGGCGTGTCTGCCACTCACAGGTCCTTCCACAGGACCAAGCTGATGGAAACACATTTTCTCCAATGGACTGAGTTTTCCCTCAATTTTTTTCTCACATGGACTACATCCCTTCTCACACACACCTGGAATCAAGTTTATCATCGGTACGCTTGTCTAAACGTTCCTCCCACCAGTCCACTTTTTCCAGACAGGTGAGGAACAAAGAACACGTACATGGAACTCATTAGTTCTTACCTGGACATGAATGTATTGTTGATTCCACAAGGGTACAGTGAATACAACGTTCAACCATCTATTCAGTCCTTGTCCTCACAGGAAGAAGTCAGATGGATTATTTTGCACACACCCCGATCATGCACACTGTGTACACTAGATTTAGGTTCTGTCGCTGTGTAACACACATTAACTATCCCAGCCACATGTACAATGTCCATACAGGCACATGCACTTACATGCAGGCCTCTACATAAGGTACACAACTACAGTGGAAATCATAAGAGATCATCAAACAAAAAGAAACCCAGCCTTTTCAAGACAGACAAATACCAGTATGCATCAGTGAAAGTGAAAAGATTACCATAAAGGATCCAAGGTTGTGCTGGATCAATGAGCCATGAGAGACTATTGTATTCTATCCATGTGTGACAAAGAAATTAGCATGGGACATTCCTTTTTATTGACCTGTGGCCTGTGGGGAGAGCCTTCAACTGGTGTATGTAATACATGCACAGCATATTCTGATACTGTACACATTGACCTGTAGCATGTTAACAGCATTCCCAGGGTTGTTCAAAACCTCAACAATGTCAATCATTTCAAAATCCTGGCAAACAGTTTTACAATTTTCCAAAGTAGACAACATTTTTCTGAAGTAGAAAAAACAGAAAAAAAATCAAACAATTCTTACCAGTACTTCAAAAATGTAAAAAGTCAGAAACAGATCAAAAATCTGTAAACACATTGTGCTATTTTTGCCAAGACTACTGTTTTAATGAACACTACCTGGAGTGTGTAATTGTATTTGGTAATTACATGAGATATCATTTAGGGGAAAAAAGATAAAGATTTAAAATGTTAGACAGATGCTTTTATAAATTGAGATGCTGCCTGTGATCCTTCATGAACACTTTTGCTTTTTTTGAAAAAAAAATTGCTAGCCTAGCAAGTTTTGCACAACTTGATAAACAATTTGATTTTTTACCCTGGTATGAAATTGTGTAATGTCATTGGTTGAAAGCTGGCCAGGGGACACTTAAAAAGTTTTCAATAACACGACAAAAAGTCTGCATGAAGTACATCACTTAATGTACTTAAATATTGAGCATGGTTTTGAATATTTTCAGCTGTTGTACATGTACATGTACATTATCTTATGACATGTAAAACTGACCATATGAATAAAGTGGGTGAGACACTGGTGAACCACAATAAAACCACATGCACAAAGGTGTTAGTCCATGTCATTAGTTTTATTAATTTTGGCACCTCCCCCCCCATCAAAAATAACAAAATAAATTCAAATTTTAAATGACAAGATACAAGTACTGTCAGTTCCACAGTCCTTTATGATGTGGGATTTTATCAATGCTGACCACTGGTCAATGTTTTTCTAGATTTATGTGACATTTCTCACTGCATCATTGTTTTTTCGAAACTCGGCGACTGCCAAGAAGTGGTATTTGCTTCAATGCAAGGCCGTGGCCTACGGCCACTTGAAGTATGCTCAACCTCCACGCACGATTTCAAGTCTTGTGTGCGGGTGAAAACTTGATTAGAATCAGTCAGGTTTGCGTGCCAATAACATAGACATGGTACAGTACACAAAATTCACAGGATGTGCTGTGCTAGACGTCCTCCATGTTTCGATACAGGGAATCCCTGCATCTTAAGATGTTGTCCGGCATAAAGTGGACTGCATCCACATGGACAATTATTCCATCATGTGAGGTGGGGTCAAGCTTAGGGCCACTCTGATGCCACACTGTGGAGCAAACCAGGCACCGACCAAGGGGGTCGGGAGTTTGGGAAGGTCAATGCCCCAACTCTGACACCATTGAAATGAATACATATTGTAGTAAATAAAAGTTAAATATTAACTTTAAAAAACAATTAATTATACGGTAGTAACAATAAAACTGATAACATTCTGTTGAGGTTGTACATCAATAGCAATGCAATGCATTACCTATACATGTGTTCATCTATATGACAATCAGACACAAACTGGCCTAAATCAGGTCTAAATCCCAACCCCCCGTAAAAAAATTCCTTGATTCGCCCCTGCAAGCTTGAGCGATGACTATTGCTACATGTACATGTACATGTACATGTACATGTAGTTTGAACGATGTCAGCTGAACCCAGGATGGTTTGAACCATAGAGTCAACCATTTGGAACCAGGCCCTGGGGGTAACGTTGCATCTCTCGCTATCAGATTAATAGCTGATTTCATTCATCAGTACAGAAAATATCATTCACAAGAAAGTAATAAAGCGAGATGTCATTGGCCCTCAATTCTGCAAGAAATGCAGCCAACGGCAAATGGTGAGGAACAATCAGATTTTACAAAATAGTTCGACTCAGGTCACTAAATGTGGCTATAAGCACACTTAGTACAGACCATCATTTGCAGTTATCCAAAAAGTAACTAATGAAATTATTGTTGAAAAACATACTTGGTTTAAAGAAGGTTATGGGACTAAATTCCCTGTGGAATTATCCTTTCGAGCAAACCGTCAATTTAAAGAAAACAATAAAAGAAGACCATTTCCAATGATCCGTCTACAGATACATTTAAGGAAAATTGCCGTTGGAAGCATACCCAAGCTTCTAAACACACACATGTGCAGTTACTCTAATTTGTGGGTTCAGAGCTAGACACGAAAATGTGACTCAAATTCAAACATGACTCAGCAACACTTGATCTGAAATTTATCGAAATCTTACCAATGCAATATTGTTTTCTCGGAATTACGCAGCACTCACTGACCTGAAACTTCTTCAGGTTTGTTCTTTGGCACCCTTCTTCAGATTTTAGAAGAGTTGTAACAAGCCACTGCTTTTTGCGACTTGAGCTGAGTCATTTAACGCAGTGACTTGAGTCAGGTCAAGGCAAAAAAAAGTCGAGTCGAGTCAGGTATTTAGCTCGAGTCAATTTGAGTCACTAATATTTGAATACAAAACTATAAACACAAACAAGAAGGAAAATCCTATTTGGCATTTTTAAAAATTCACATCTGGGTTTCTACATGTGGTCACATCATAACCTTACTCCTCAAGATAGTGACACATGACAAGAGTATTAATAACCACCACTGTACATGTACACTGTAAGTCACTGCAAATCTTTCTTTTTTTTGGCAAAGAAGTTTGCTTATTATGTCTTGGACTCGAGTCTTACTAACTTTCACTTGAATGGGGTCTTCTGATGAAAGACCGGTGTTAAGTTAAATCGTTTGTTTGCAGTGACTCGAATTAAGTCATTCACTGATTGGGACTCGAGTCAAGTTGGGAAAAAATGTGACTTGAGTCGTGTTACTGACTCCAGTCATTACAGCTCAGAGGTTGAGTAATTTTGTTACCTCAAAGGAACATCATGCACATAATAAAAACTGATGGGCTGTACTTTTAAAAAGCAATTGATCAGTGGTTGACCTAAAGTCTAGAACTGGACTCGCCCCTACAAGTACTTTAAACAGGACATGAGCTTACCCAGAGGTGTCTTCCATTAAACTCATTGCACTTCTCTGTTGATGACTGTTGGCACCGGTTGCCATGGTTACTGGCCGGTCCACGCCATCTACACAGCGCTGGTGTTTGCACTTGCCAGGTACCAGCCAGGAATCCAGAGCAGCGTGATGGACGGGGACTGACCGGTCACTCTGCTCACTACTGGGGTCCCAGGAATTACTCGTCCAGTATTCCATCTACAGACTCGATGGACATGCCCATGTGCGTACATGTACATGAAGGTATAGTACGCATATATTTTCTCCAGCACCACTTACATTTCTGCTAATCAAAAAATACATGCACGATCAAGGTTAAAGCTAACACACTCTGTTAATACTGAAGCTGCCTTACATGGCCATCTTCAAATGTAATGCATGTTTATTTTTTGGCTCTTACACTATGATGATGAAATTATTTAAGCCCAGACTGTACAGAAAGCAGAATTTGGGTGAGTTTCGAGTACATATTAATCTGGGATTACCCAATTACGTGACCTGTTTAAAAGTTTTGAGTAAAACTTCCTTTGACACCTTTACATGTACATGTGGAAGAGCCATAAAACCTTTTCAAAAATGGCCCAAAAATTCGAAAAGAATTTTAGAAAAACAAAATAGAGGGAATGCAGATTAAGATGATTTATAATATCTTTTAACTTCAAAAGAAAATCACTGAATAACTTGGGGATTTGTCAACATAAAGACGTATAGCACCATTACATTAGGAGACTCTCCATCTGATTTTGGGCCAATTTCCAGTGTCATTTTAAAATCTTTCACTGCAAATTTAAAACACTTGATTTGTTTTACATTTTTATTACTGGTCGGTATATTTAAGGTTGTAGATCAAATATAAAAGGACTTCTAAGCTCATTAGTCATGATGCTCAGCCATGGGCAGATCCAAAACCAAAATTGAGCCTAAATGAATTCACATTTTTCCATGTAACCTTTAATTCGATGACCTTTCTGAGGGGTGTGGTTGTGTTTAGGGGCTTTTTACACACTTCAGTTTAAGAGAGGAAGGGAATTGAAACAGATTAAAAAAAATCACACTCTACATGTACTTGCACATAACATTGTGGACAACCGTAATATTCTCTGCTAAATTTTAAAGCAAGTTTCTTACTGTCTTTGAATATGAATCCATTGCCTTTTAGAAATACTGGAGTGAGTGGATCACTTCTGAAAGCTTCCCTCCAATATGTACACTGTATACCCCCAGAACTGTGGGGTCCGACATTGGACCCCACAGTTCTGGGGTACATTATGTAGGCAAATGTAGGCAAATTTGGGCAAACATGCACAAGTGAGAAGAAGATACCTACCAGGTATAAGAACTGTCACCCTGTGTTTGTTTATTATTCATTACTATTATTATTATTACAACATTGCCCCCAGTAGGCTGTGTACAAATGCTAGCCCTACCACTGCCTACATGTCAGTCTGTCAAGGCTCTATAAACGTCACTGTCGCTGTCAATGACACTTTGCAATGACGGCATAAGGAATCCAGAAGGGGATTTCCCCATCTTGGGAAACCCCAGCTGCTCACTGGGAAATCCGAAATGGCCGGCAACAGAACAAACTTAACATTACCATGAGGGGATCAACGCGTACGGCAATTCCTCCCAAAATTAATATTTTCCAACCACCCCAAATTGCCAAAATGGCATTTGTGAGGCATAACATTCAGTCCGCAAAACTTTGGCCACTAAACACAGTCAATAACGGTAAATCTGACTTACCGGTACTCCGGGGAACAGCTGAAGTTACCCTTTCCCAATCGACACTAACAGTGACAAACAACAG